GAGTGCGAAGTTTTACCTCGTTGATTCGCGGAAGAAGTGATTTGGTAGAAAATAATGTTTTTGGAAAAATTCCAAAAAATCGCCTAACAGGCTTGAAGGCCCACTAACACATAAGGCCATCAACTTCCTCAGTCTTTTAAGACAAAGAAAAAGAAGACAAGTCAGGGAAAACACGCAGACATCGGCTCGATGCGGAATCGCGAAAACTTCCCGAGTTCGATGACAAGACGTTCACGCCTAGCGACGACGCAGCCCAACATATCGATCCCAGAATTCGACAACTTTTACCTCGGCACCATCATAACTCAAATACTGCCAATCTGGGGGGCTAACTGTGGGGGTCGGATTTCACCCCTATGCGATCGATATGGCGATGAGATCAACTCCACAACGTCTTGACGAAATCAAAGCAAGTCTACAAAGGCTCAGTCTGAATCTAGGCCCAAAATGATATTAAATCATAAGCGAAATGGGCTTAATTGAATAATGAGCCTAAATTAGATATATTGCTTAATGGGCCAAATCTATTTTATTAGCTGGCCCATTTACTTAGARGTACTATATATAGTCCCTCATTATCACCCAAAAAGGGGATCGGAAWWMAWWARMAAAAAACTCTTGTAACAGCTTTCTTCACAGCYAATAAAAACTYTCTTGAGATCTTTRTGTTYGCTTGCTTTCCAYAGAACTTTACAAACCCTAAAGAATCAYTTAGATTTTAATTGTGAAATTCGACTGCCACACCTATAGTTAAACAAATAATTTTCTATTCAACGAAATTAAAAGGCTAAGTAAGAGTCATACATGTGAATAATTATGTTTGTCACCAGTACTATAAATTAATTTTAGTTTTAATTTTCAGCGAACGTAACGTGATAGTATTATTTGAGCATTCATATTTACATTTTTGCATGTTGAAAGAGAATTCGTTTCCCACACACTCCAACTCTCCAGCCACAAATCCCGTTTTCACTTTAATTAGCACAACATTACTCCGACTATAACCAGAAGAGAAAAAAGATAGCTCAAAGAATTTT